GTGCACTTGTTATTGATTAGAAAGTATATTAAAATAAAATTATGCATGATATTGTTTATGCAGAATGAAGGTAATTTATCAGAACTGGAGCAGGGAAAAACTGGAGCAGCTGTGCATGGCAACCAATCAGCTTCTCTTTCCTTTTCAAATCTTAATTGAACAAACTGAAGAGACTCCGATTGGTTTCCATGGGCAACTGCTCCCGATTTTGATAAATTCCCCTCAATGTGAATGAATGGGTAATACTTCCTCAGTTACATATGTACAAACAATTTATATAGCACTCACCTTTCCTGGGATCCAGCATTACATCTTCTCTCCAGTGCAGTAATGCCTGCACTTCTGGGTTTCTTCTGACAGCTCTCCTGACAGTGGCAGGGTGTCGTGTCTAAGGGCCAACTACAAGGAAGGTTGGACTTAGCTGTGTGCTGATCCCCAGATTGCAACCCCTAGGATCACCCTGCTTGACGTGTGGACACTTCCCATATGCACAGGAGAAGGAGCATACCAAAACATTCAGGCAGCACTGGTGAAGCCAAAATGTCAATGCAGAAGACAAAGATTCGGTCATGGTGGGCAGCAGATAAGAAAAAAACCAGGATATTTCCCAATCCGTGATGTGTGAAGATGCACATGATCCAGTTTCAATGGCTTTTGAACAGCTCAGAAGACAGTTCCAGCAGAAACTTCAGCTTGGGAAATAACATTTGCCTCTCAGATTTCAAATTACATCAATGTCTGCACTATATAAAAATTGCCTATTTGTATAACGTATTGGAAAGGAAATACCGGTTTTAGTAACAGCTGCTAGATTTCAACGGTTCATTTTTACATTTCCAATTTTAGTGTCACTTTAATGTGTAGACACCCTACTCAGGAGTTAAATCTTAAAATGCATTTGAATGCCTTTAAATCAGGATCTTTACCTATGTCTTTAAATAACAACAAACACATACTTCTAAATAATTGTCGTCTTTGCATACCTTATTTCTCTTTTCTACCCCAGTCTTCTGGCAGTGGCCATGTTTACTAAGGGCAGATTACTAGCTCTCCTATTACTGGCACATGTGACTAGGACATGTGACCATGCACATCATCTCAGGGGAGGAAAATGCCTTTCCATGAGATCTCCTGAGATTACACATGAGATTTCCCAGCAATGCTCTGCTGATGACAAGGCAATCCCAGTGTGTATTGCGTTGGCAAACTGAAGTCATTTTGCACTTTTAAAGCAGGAAGTGAATGCTGTGCAAGTGTAAGTATTTCAAAATCACAGCATTTTACACCTGACATGCCTGCTATTAATAATCATCATACATAGAGGGTAGAATTTGATTTAGATTTTTTTTAGTGTAAAGGTCCACTTTAACTATTAACAAAAAGGTCTCTTATTTGTGTATCATTCAGCTGTAGAACCTCAAATCATCTCTGAATTTGGAGCGCTTTCTACCTTATAAACACTGTCAGCACAAATTCAGAGATGTTCTAAACTCGCTCCTGTGATGGACTACAAGTCTCAATACAGACAAAGCAGGCACCCACAAGACAACACAGCTGCCAGGACAAAGTAGACAGGCACAGGACACAGAATGCACCTACAGGATATGGTGGTCAGTAGGCACAAATAGACTATGGCCGCCACTGGCAAGCCAGCAGGCATCCACAGGTCAGCCTCTGACAGGGTGGAGCAAGCACCCACAGGACAGTTAGTAAGTGTGCACCGACATGATGGAGCAGCTGCCCCTACCCTAGGGGCACTAAACGACATGGCAGTCAGTGGGCACCCACAGGACAAGGCAGAGAGTAAACACCCATCTGTGGGGGGGGGGGGGGGGAAAGGACTCAGCACATTAAAGCCAATGAGTACCCATAGCACAGGGCAGTAAATCTGCACCCACAGGATGAGGCAGTCATTCAGGACCCACAGCACTGGGAAGCCAACGAGCACCGACAGGGCAGGCAGCGGGCCCCCATTGGTCAGGGCAGGCAGACACAGGTCGGAAGACTCTGATTCAAAGAAGGGGGGGGGGCTGCAGCTCCTGGGGATTAGTGCCTTGGCTCAGAGAGGTCACACATTTGGTTTTATGTCAGACCAGCTATTGTATCAGTCAAAGTCGTCACGGCTGGTGACACACAGTCAGGTGTGACAGTAAAAAGCATGTTATTGCACATGCAAAAAATTTCATCTGTCCCTTTAAGAAAAAGTATTGGTAATTGGTATCGGCTAGTACATTAGGGAAAGTACTTGGTCCTGAAAAAGTGGTATCGGGACATCCCTAGCTAAGGTAATTAAATGCATTTTTAAAGGTTTAACTCCTAAATTTAGTGTCACTTTATGTCCCTGACCAGCGTGGAGGGTGATTCATACATTTGCTTATAAAGCATTAAATACCACAGTACCTCCAGATACAAATGACCAGGGATAGTATGAAGTGTGAAACAGATTATTATTGCGAATTCTAACCTTTTGACACTGCTAGAAAGCGAACATCTAATGCAGAAGTCTCAAACTCAATTCATTCAGGGGGCCACTGGACAAATTTTCTTCTCCCATGGGGGCCACTGGACAAATTTAATATTTCAAAATACATTTTAACTATATACAATAGCAGTGTAAATATCTGTGATGGTTTATTTGTATGCAATGTCCGTATATTTTTGTGATGCTTTGTGTGCATTTTCAGTATTTCTGTGAGTGATCTTGGTATGTGTGTAAATGTTTGTGTGTGTCATATCAGTATGTATACATGTGCAGTGTCAGTATGTGTTTTTCCACAGAGGCTTTTTATTTTAAATCAGGAGGACAAACAAATTCACACATGGTGAAACACACACACACACACTAAGGTCCCATTCACACCTGTAGATTTAGGTGCGATTAGGGATTCCTGCGTTTTCCTGCAGCAAGAATCCTTAAGCCAGCGTTTACAAGTGGCAACTGTCACCCATGCAAGTGCCTGGACACCGCATGCAATGGTATGTGATATGATTACATGTAGTACACAAAACCACTATCCCTGAAAGTATTGATCATGCATCCAGGGATCGTGATTGTTTTCAATCACCATACCAAGAACCTCTGTGGCATGCCAAGTAGTCAAGAAATTCCAAAACAGTTCTAGGGAGTCAATCTAGAACTTCCCACTAACTGGCATGCCTTAGTTCTGCTCTGCAGCATGCACAGTAGTCATAGAACTAGAAGTCTGAGGAGATTTTCTAACTGTGGGTTTGGGGCTCAGGAAATGAAAGTATGCCGAGTACTGATACCTCTCCAAGTACTCACAGATACAATTATTGATACATTTTCCATGTGACACTTTTTCTAAAACAATACAGACTAATGATTTCAGGACAGTGGTGGAGGGCCAGGGCCCTGCCAGAGCCGCAACCACTAACTCTGGTAGTTCTTATGAAAATGCTAAGTTTCGGAACTGGTACCGAACGTTTATTTTTGGCAAATGCATGAAAATGAATGTTCTTAACCCCTTAAGGACAAAGGCTTTTTTTTTTTTACAATTTTTAGCCCTGAAAATTGCTTAAAAACATTACCGTATATATTTTCTGAAAGCCAAGACCCTATAGAATAAAATGGTGGCCGTTGCAAATTTTTATGTTGTAAGACATTAGCGCAAAATTATCAAACCCAAAAATGCACTCAAGTTAACCTTGGAGTCCCAAAACACTATACAAAACAATTTTTGTGTGAAATATAAGAGATGAGGTTACAACAAGTAAAATAGATACCCAACATGCCCAATTAAAAAAGTGTGTGTGTCCATGAAACTGCGACAGAATTCAGTACCCCTAATAGTCCATAGACAACGCTTTAAAAAGTCCCTACAGGTCAGTTTAGAGATGCATGTGAATACTGGCCCTAGAATTATAGCTCTCACTCTGGCATGTGTAGCGATATCAAACATGTAGCACAATAGCCATTTCCGTACGTAGGCGCACCCGCCACGTGTTTACGTGAATACGCCCCATGCTAATGGGGGCCTTTAAAATATGTTCTCATATTTACATTTAATATTTTTTAAACTTTACTTTAATTGAATCACATAAGGGGGGCTTACAAGCCCCCCATGTGATAGCATATTGGCAGTGACTGGACCTCTTTAAGGTGACACAGGGGGGTCCAAAAGACCCCTTGTCACCTTTACACTCTAAATAAGCTATTAAAGTGCAGATCCCACTTCAATAGCTTATTGCGTAGCTCAGGAGCCCAGCACTGACTGCTATGGGACCAGAAGGGATGCAATACACGTCGCTCCTGGTCCCATAGAACGGGGAGATCGGTAAACAGACATTCACCGTTCTTCAACCCAGCTTCCCACCGACAACAGAGACACCAGTCCCAGGCCTGTAGGAGGGACAGCGGAGCCAGAGAAAAATGGCACGGGGGTTGGACGGTCACTTTACCGCATCGTAGAAGCGATCTGGCAGCAGCTGGGCCACCAAAAATCGCTTCTACTGTAAAGCCGGCCACCGGCTCTACAAATCTGAACAGCGTCCCGGCGGAGTCTGTTTAACCCCTTCAGGATTCATGACGGGATTAATATATTTTCCCAGTTCGAACATAGTGTCATAATGCATTATGGCGCCTATATGGAGTTGAGGAGCACAGGAAATATAGATTTCGTAGACTCTACAAAGTGGTCACATGGCTGGGTGATCTGCAAGATAAGAGATATTGTATTACACCGGTATTGCATTTTGTCAGCACATGCAAATAACATTGCCAAATCCATGCATGCTAGGAAACATTCTAGCAGGCATAGGTTTTTCTTAAGCCCAGAGTTACGCATTAACCCTTATGTGAACTACTTACATATTTAAAATTAACCTGAAAATTAGAGGCAGTCAGCATTTTAAAAACAAAAATTTAATGGTAGCGAAGAAACAAAACCCAGCAGTTGGAGATAATTCAAAGGATCCGATTTTCTTTTTTTTGTACTTTATTTTTGCATTTAAATAATAAAAAGGAATATCCAGTTAATGTGTTTCTGGTCACAACATCCTATCCTGCAAAGAAAACAAAAATATGAATGCTTACAGCATAAACAAAAAACACACAATATATAAAAATGGAAAAAAGACTAAAGACCAAAACACATTTGCAGCCAATGTTCTATCAGAATTGTCCAGGAATATTTTTGTAGGTCAGAAAACGTACACAATTTATTCTGACAAGAATTCGGTCACATTCTGTCTGGTTCATGTTTTGTGGTTCAGGTAATGGTAAAAAAAAAACAAACCTGTTTTTATAAGTTATGCTAAAAAAAAAAACAAGCTTTACCGCTCAGTTTAATGTTAACAGCGTTTAATGGCCCTAGAATTTTTACTTCCACTCAAACGTTCACGGTGATAACATGTGATGTGTAATCGTCTTTTTTGCATGTATGCGCACCTGATATGGTAACAAGTCCCCTATCTGATAGCAAATATACAGTGACAGGTCCTCTTTCTGGAGACATCACAGGTCAGACAGAATACATGTTTTTTTTCCTATTTGAGAACTTATATCAATTTGCATCTGTAAAGGAGGAAATGGGGGGAGACCCTCCCCTGATCTGTATGGTCAGCTGTGTAAGTGTTAACCGCTTTCCTGCTATTCAGATGTCTTTACAACATCCACCAATCAGCCTTTTCACACCATAGCAGTAAGTCAGAATAGACTCAAGCATGCCACCTGCAAGTAGCTATTAGAAATAAGTAGTATTTAATATCTACCTGACAAACTAAAAAAAGATTTACACACTATTTTGTTTGAGTACAATATATAAATACATCAATTCACAAATACAGGCAGCCCCCAGGTTACTTACAAGATCGGGTCTGTAGGATTGTTTTTTTAAGTTGAATTTGTATGTAAGTTGGAACAGGTACATTTTTTAAGTGTAACTTCACCCCAAAACATTTTTTGTTTGTTCTGGAAAGCATAGGGAAGGGTTAACCCCCTGTAACGTTTGTTTTGCTGAGTGTGGCCCTGTTCAGAAGATTGTACATCACGTTCTGTCCCTGTGACAATTGGATTTAGAAAATTTTGGGTTGTCGTGGGAACAAGGATTGGTGATAAAGCTTCAGTGGAGACACCTTTTTCCCATGATAACGGTTACAGGAGTGAATTTCTTGTCTCAAGGACAGGAAGTGAGATTAAATCTTTCTAATGAGGATACAAACAGCAGTAATAACCTCACAGTGATCCGGAAGAAGAGGTGGGCACCCATCGTCTGCAGGTCTAACAAGAGACAACTTCCTGTAATGTACGTACAGTACCACGAACCAGACCCAAAAAGGCGGGCACTCCACGTCAGCATGAGCGCAGTAGCATTACAACTACCCCTGCTGTACATTAATAGCGTCCGTTTGTATGTAGGAGTCGTATGTATGTAACTCGGGGACTGACTGCATATAGATCTTTTTAGAAGTTCACAGGCATATTTCTCCAAGCTACCACATTATTATACCTGAAGAGTTATCACCTGTACTGTTAGATGTCCTGGCCTGTTCGGTCTCTTCGGCATCTGATTTCGCATCATAAAATTCTTCAGAGGTGCTAGATTGTGCAGTATGGTCCTCGGGGGCTGAAAATAAAATTCACACATTTTAGTCTTGCCCTCTAGAAGTTAACCAAGACATTAGAAATCACACACAGGTTCTTCTGTATAAGATAACCATATAAACACGTACAGGACTTGTCTTCATTTCCTTGTGCTTTACACTCCTGCTGGCTGAATGGATTGAAAAAGGGGTCTGTAACTTTGGTTTCAGAGTTTGTTTTATTGCTAAAAATGAAAAATGGCTTGCTTATGGAAGATTCAGCACTTGCTGTGGTCTGTAAAAATGATGCAGTCTTTGGCTTTTTCCATGACTTTCCATTTCTGCTGAGCTTGGCTAAATCTGTGGCATCAGACTTGCCCAAACAAAAGCTTGGAACAACCTTAGCAGTGTTTGCTTCTTTGTTGGCTTCAGTCTGTTTCTGTACTTTATTATCAAGGGACACTCCACTGGCTACTCCTTTCAAGGAAAAGGTTACAGGCTCTTTGGCCCTAACTACTGCATTGGTTGGGAAATGAAACACAACTGCTTTCTGATCATCCTTTCGGGGCTCCAGTGCAATCTCCATTTTTGATTCAGTCTTGGCAGTGGTGTCTTGCTTATTTATAATGAGCGAACAGGCCCCTGGAAACTCTGCTGATCTTCTCATTTTAGCGCTCGTCCTATCCGCTTCAGCTGTTTCAGAGTTAGGATTGTCTTCAGCACTAGACAAAGGCTGCCTTGGTCTTTCAGAAGAAGAAACCTCATTATTTTCCTGTATGATGGAGTCCTTATAATATTTCATTCGAAGTTCCTGCCAAAGAAAGCAAGGCATCAGAATAAAAACAACATTTGTATGATCAAGAAAATATTTTTATACTGGTGACAGATCTTCATAAATCACCTCAATCCATAAAAGCATACTGCACAGATAATCCATCATTTAACGGTACAAAGACTTTAATGATTCATTGTCAGCCCAAGAGGAATTTCCTTTTCAGTAGTAAAAAAGTAGATAACAATAAAAATAAACCTATGAGCAGGTCTGAAAATTATTCACCTGTCTGCAACATCTGCACTGAATGAGACACCAGCTGGATGTCAAGCAAATGCTTAAAATGTTTTTTGTCCCGACCAGATAATGTGGTGCCAGTAAATATGCTGCTGGAGCTCTCAAAGTGCTGAAACAGTTTTAAAAAGGGTACTGTTTGTGTAAAATATTGAGAGGAAAAAAAAAAAAAAAAGCTACCAGCCTGGCATACATGGCAAGAGAGCATAAAGCATGTCGCCTGCTGTGCATTTACTCAACACGCCACACCACAAACTATATCTGTCATGTATACTG